AGGAGAAAAACCCAAAAACGGATTTGCAGAAAATATATGTGGTGACATGGAGATGACAGTAAAATCAAGTTATACTCTGTTTGTCAGCTGGACTTTCCAATTTAGAGTGCAGCCATTCTCAAACTTGTTCTAAGAACATTAAGATATCCTATAGGTACCGTTTGAGCAAGTAAGTTTTGGAGCCAGTACTATGCTTGATGATAATAAGCCAGCAATTATCTAAAATCAAAGGATAATAAGATATTATTTGTTGTTCAAATGGACAGTTTGCTTACAATGATTGTCAAAAAATTCCTATAGGTGGTGATCAATTTTTATTTTTTTTATTAAAGGTGTGAGTTCTTTGAAATTAGATTTTATGGGGAAATTGTGACAGATAAAGAAAGCTATCGTCACAGTCCTTTAGGGTAGAATTGCAATCTTCCCGAAGTTCAGTTCACGACTGTAAGCATCTTGGAAATGAGGTTTTGGGAATGACCAGAATAGAAGTGTCTGTGAAGCAAGAATTCTGAATATTATCAAAATTCATTAAAAAATTATTTGGTGACTATCTCCATCTTACACACTCCATGATCTGCTAGTCGATGGGTTGGACATCGCCTTTCTAAATGGGGAACCATTTGTAGATTGGTGGGTTGTTGTGACGCACATGTGACAAGGCGTTGGTTTGGAGGTGTCGCTCCTGAGAACAGGAACGTTTGTTTTGTTAAGTTTTATTAGACAGAACTGTCTGCTTGTTGACGCTGTCTGAAGGCGCGGTCTAATTCATCAAAGCCTGGTTAGCTTTGTATATATCAATATAAAGATTGATGGAATAATTTCAATTTTTTCAACTAATATTTAATGAATCTACATTTGTGTGGATTCCTAATTGCCGTTTGAGGATCAGAGACAGAGAACCTTTCATAAATTTTTTTGTCTGCTCTTTCTGGAAACAATTTCCTGTGCATAGACTTAAACATCATGTAAAGCTTACATAACTGTGAACAAGCCTCAGCTGTTATTTGATATATGGACTGGTCACTCTGGAGAAACGATCTGACCGTGTAATCGGGAAACGATCTGACCGTGTAATCGGTGGTATTGTCCAAACATAGATCATTTCTGCTGCACCTCTTAGTCGGTGTCCAGTCGCATCACGTATTTGCAGTCATTTATCAAGATGTCTTAGTTATTAACAATGCCTTATTGTGTCGGTTGTAAATTACACACTGGAAGTTGATTACCGTGCCTGTACGACAGGGTACCACCCCTGGCCTGTCAGGTTTGTTTTAGCTGCATTTCTCTTAAACAAAAATGTCATTCCAGCAGTGTGGGTTTTTACCAGCTTAACATATGGTAGCACTCCAGATTATTCTGCAGTTTACTCACTTTAGTTCTTTTGTTATTTTTGAAATTGTAATATTTTCCTCCTGAAATTTTCATGGAAAAGTTTCTGAACATTCAGAAATAACTATTTTCTTATATTCATAAATTTCAAGAACCAGCTGGATATGTCCTTTAAAGGAAACCCTAAATATTTCTGTCTATGATAATCTAATGAAAAATCTGTCTCCATGGCAACCTTCTTATGCTTAGTAGTGCTAGTGATGACTGTTTCTGATAGTTATAACAGTGTCTATGGTAATAGGTATTAGTGACAACTGCATCAGTGGTTATAGGTGATAGTGATAACCGTATCTATAGTTACAGGTGATAGTGACAACCGTATCTATAGTTACAGGTGATAGTGACAACCGTATCTATAGTTACAGGTGATAGTGACAACCGATCTATAGTTACAGGGGATAGTGACAACCGTATCTATAGTTACATGGGATAGTGACAACCGTATCTATAGTTACAGGTGATAGTGACAACCGTATCTATAGTTACAGGTGATAGTGACAACCGTATCTATAGTTACAGGAAATAGTAACAACCGTATCTATAGTTACAGGGGATATTGACAACCGTATCTATAGTTACAGGGGATAGTGACAACCGTGTATATAGTTACAGGTGATAGCGACAACCATATCTATAGTTACAGGGGATAGTGACAACCGTATCTATAGTTAAAGGGGACAGTAACAACCGTATCTATAGTTACATGGGATAGTGACAACTGTATATATGGTTAGAGGTGATAGTGACAACTTTAACTATAGTAAACATGTGACAGTGACAACTGTATATATGGTTAGATGTGATAGAGACAACTTTAACTACAGTAAACAGGTGATAGTGACAACTGTATATATGGTTAGATGTGATAGTGACAACTAACTATAGTAAACAGGTGATAGTGACAACTGTATATATGGTTAGATGTGATAGCGACAACTTCAACTATAGTAAACAGGTGATAGTGACAAGTGTTTCCATGGTTAGAGGTGATAACGACAACTTCAACTAGAGTAAACAGGTGATAGTGACAACTGTATATATGGTTAGATGTGATAGTGACAACTAACTATAGTAAACAGGCGATAGTGACAACTGTATATATGGTTAGATGTGATAGCGACAACTTCAACTATAGTAAACAGGTGATAGTGACAACTACATCTATGGATATTAGTGATAGTGACAACTGTATATATAGATATCAGTGATAGTGACGACTGTATATATAGATATCAGTGTTAGTGACGACTGTATATATGGTTAGATGTGATAGCGACAACTTCAACTATAGTAAACAGGTGATAGTGACAACTGTTTCCATGGTTAGAGGTGATAACGACAACTTCAACTAGAGTAAACAGGTGATAGTGACAACTGTATATATGGTAAGATGTGATAGCGACAACTTCAACTATAGTAAACAGGTGATAGTGACAACTATATCTATGGATATCAGTGATAGTGACGACTGTATATATAGATATCAGTGATAGTGACGACTGTATATATAGATATCAGTGTTAGTGACGACTGTATATATAGATATCAGTGTTAGTGATGACTGTATATATGGATATCAGTGATAGTGACGACTGTATATCTGTTTATTATTTTTAGCTGCTCTTGGCGAGAGAGCCGCTTATTTATTCTGTCCAGAGAATGAAATGACTGACCCACTTCCGTTCGGGGTGCGTGCGCATAATTCAGTCTTGCATGCTTCTGCTATATAGTTTCTTTATCGTAAATAGAAAGTAGAATCTCTGATACTCACCTGTGGGTTACATAAAGTCTTCTGATACTCTTCTCCAAATAATAATCCATACTTTAAATAATTGCTGAAAACAAAATGCTTATCTCCAGTGCATTCTACGAGTGTTGTGGTGGTGAAATTCGCGCACTGGGTTTGAGCGTTTTAGCAACTCGGATTGTCGAGGTCTGAGGAGTGTTACGCGTGTGAAACACATATGATTCGAGAAAGCACATGTGAAGACTGTCAAGCATTGACGCTGTCTGTAGAAGGAAGAAGTAAATATATATACTTATAAACCGTATTAGTGGTGAAGTATAACCTCTATTTTGATGTTTCAAACGGGAACGTAATATGACATATGGTGCTTAGGTTGATAACGGTAATGGCCCTGAGACGAGACGATATGTGAACTGTGTATGCTTATCAAACATTTCTGTAACACAGCATGCTATTTCTGGTGCATTTATTTATTAAAGTGTAACAATTTAAGAACAAAACACAACTGCCGCTTCTGCCTGACAAGAATTTGCGACGCGTCAAAATATTATCCAATCCTGTGTAAGGGAAAAAACTCTTACGTTGGTAAAGTCGCATTGAGAAATATAATTCAAATATGTTCCAAGAACATTTGTGAGATTTTGTCTATTTGATGACAGTAAATAAAGTCACTACATATATGAATAATTATTATTAATATGAATAAATAATAAATAAAAATAAAACGAGTACAATGTCTCTTTTCTCCATGCATTTTTCCCCCCATACTGTTAATTCTTCATTTCACAATCACAAAATGCACCTATTCTTTATTATCCATTCACCGATTGCCATTCTGCACATAAATGCTCATGTCACATCATTGGAGGATGCAAACTAATGAAAATTACAACAATGCGTTACACTTAAAGAGGGTGAAAAAGGATGAGAGGGAGAAATGTTTTTAAGGCATCGTTTAAGAGTTGATTGATTTTGGAAATCCCAAAGGCAGCATCATCACATGACCTGATTTTCAATTAGCAGAATACAGAAACCATATCTGAGGTATTATAGAAGATATTGATGCTCAACGTCTTACTGAAGCAATTAAATTTAAAGTGGTGAGCGGCTTTAATGTCACACTGGAATAATTCTAGTTTCATATTATTCCCAACTAGCGATTGGCCAGGAGTGCATCACCTGTCCACCGATAAAAACCGATATTGACTTGGAGCGTGTGATTTTTGTTGAAGGACTGAGTGTTTCTAAAAATAGAATTATGACGTGTCTCCAAACAACGTACCGTCCCGCTTCTGTAGCTTTTATGGTGTTTTATTTTCAGATTGCTAACACTACTGTTTTGAAAATAATAAAACAATTGTAGCCTTTAACTGCATCCTCAGGCAATATATCTTTTCTCAGGTCGATAAATCCAGGTATCGACCTCAGCCAAAGGCTATAGCTGAATAATATCAGTGTTAGTGACGACTGTATATATGTATATCAGTGTTAGTGACGACTGTATATATGGATATCAGTGTTAGTGAAGACTGTATATATGGATATCAGTGTTAGTGAGGACTGTATATATGGATATCAGTGTTAGTGACGACTGTATATATGGATATCAGTGTTAGTGATGACTGTATATATGTATATCAGTGTATAGTGACAACTGTATATATGGATATCAGTGTTAGTGACGACTGTATATATGGATATCAGTGTTAGTGACGACTTTATATATGGATATCAGTGATAGTGACGACAATATCTGTGGTTACCAAGGATATTGAAAGTGTATCTATATTTAACAGTGAAAGTGATGTGGTTATCAACAGTTAGCAGGTATATTGAAGGATAATGCCTTTCTCTGTTGTTACAGGTCATAGTGCCAAAGCTGAAGAGTGAAGTGTTGGGCATTGTGATAGTGGAGTCAGGTTGGGGCTCCATGGTCCCTACAGTGGTACTAGCCAACATGGCCCCCACAGGACCTGCAGCCCGGTGTGGGCAGCTCAACATAGGGGACCAGATCATCTCCATCAATGGTATAAGTCTGGTAGGACTTCCCCTCTCAGCCTGTCAGAATTACATCAAGGTAATTATAAGTCATAATATTATCTTGTTTTTCAGCACACCAGGCGATATCTTAAATTATTTAAGTGTGAGATATTTTATATTCGCAGTCAGTATTGTCAATGGGTACAAATGTAGGTTTGTTCAGTTTACGACCCAGGGGCCAGAAATGGGGCCAAAAGTTCCACATTGATAATAATGTGTGTAAACATTTGATCTTACGTCTTTCATTTGATATTTACAGAGTGCCAAAAACCAGACGGTGGTCAAGCTCACTGTGGTCCCCTGTCCCCCAGTGGTGGAAGTATTAATAAAACGGCCAGACGTCAAATATCAGCTTGGCTTCAGTGTCCAGAACGGAGTGGTAGGTACTTCATTGTGTAGAACCAGAAGGAATGTTTTATCAGGTTCCAAATTATACCCACAGCTATTTCTGTGAGGTATGTGTATAGGCAACCATAAGACTGTTTTGTATGGGACTGCCATGGTTGGAAAGCTCTGGGTTTAGTCCTCTGAACAGAAGCTGTGACCTCTCATGGGAAAGCTTACATTCGCCATATACTTCTCTCATCATGTTTACAAAATAACAATATCATGTTGTAGTTTTCCCAGAATGGATCGGTTAAAATTGGTACTTGTTTGAGAAGAGCCCTGTTTCACGTCTGTTTGGGAAATAATGGTAGCATAGCCCTATTCTACTATTTCTCTATCAAAACAAATCAAAAAATGTATATGTTAAGTGATCCTAGCCTGATGTCTTAGAGATAATTTCACACACTAAATTGGGTGTAAGGAGGATTTTTCCGTGGAAATCACACCCGCCCACTCAGAGAAATCCTGATCGGCTACTGTACCATGTTACAGTTAGCTCTGTCCCGTCATTAATCATTCGAGATATCGCCTTTCAGCTTTTTTCTCAGACATGTTATCATACCTCTTAGTATTGTAACCTGTGATATTCCTGTTTATGTTATTTCTGGTTCTATTTTCGACAAACCAATAACTCTTTGTGTTTCAGAACGAAATCATTTTCCAGTAACCATATTAAATGCTTTAGGATGGCCTTGAGCTTTTTTCTTTCACAACTTTTCCTGTGAAAATCCTTTTGTCGTGCGAGAGTGATGATGAAAATTGCTCCCGTTATTCTTTTGGCAATTTACCAAAAGGTTACTAGAACTGAACAACACCGTTTAAGTTCCTCACGAGGTTCTGACATTCATTTCTGAAAATTTTCATGTTTCTATTTTTTTGGGAATGAGAGAGTGGTAATATTCTGTGTGAATTAGCTGTGCCTGTCAAAATTTAGAAAGTTAATATTGAAAAATTCAAATCTATATTTGAAAGAGTTCATTATACAATGTACCATTGTCTTTCACCTCATGTCAACAATTCTTTGATCTTCCGCACTCCCCCCCCCCCCCCCCCCCCCCCCCCCCTGTTATACTAATAAGTCTGTTAAGTTTATGACTGTCTTCTGTGAAGGTAGAGAGAGGTCCTTCATGATCCATAGCTTATATTGATACCCATTGTATTTCTCTTCTCCATCTCAGGTTTTTTTTCATTCCTTCCTTCATTTATATCTCTGTCTGTGCTAATTAATCCTTTCCTTTTCCTTATTTTTCCTTCCATTAGCTCTTCGTCTTGCCCTTCCTATCTGTACTCATTTATCACTCCATATCTTCCTCTTTGTCCTTATATTTATCCCTCAAGTTTTCTCTTTGTCCTCCCTTCACTGACTACACTTTCATGTCTTCCTCTTGTCTTTCTTTCTCTTTATTCTCCCCGTTCATAGTTCTTTTCTTCACTCTGTTCATTACTCCCTCATTTTCTCTCTAAAGGTCAATAAGGTCAAGACAATTAGGCTCGTAATTTTATTAAAGTTTGTTCAATTGGATGACCTTGACCCTCTTTCAAGGTCATAACAAGATCTAGAGTAATGATATATATGACCTGTAGTATCTTTTTGTGAAAGGTTTCCTGTTTGTTTAAGTAAATGACTGAGTTTCTTGTATGGTCACTACAACTGGCTTCTCTAAAAAGTCTGTAAGATCTTGAGGAATAATATTTGGATTTAGCTTGCAGAGATGAGTAAATATAAATATTAAATTTGTTGTAATAAATGACCTTGACCCACTTTCAAGGCCATGGGATAAATATGTTAGAAAAAATGGTTTCATAAGAATTAGAATATAGGTTTTGTAATTTGTAGGGATGAAGTGTAATCAGGTTCATGCAAATAAATGAACTTGACCCACTTTCAATTAAGGTTACAATTTTTTTATTAAAAATATTTAACAAAAAACCCAAGAACAGTTTGGTGATATTTGACCTGACAACTGTCTATTTGTAATAATAGCATTATGTACATTAATATCATTTCACCTCTGTCATGAATTGCCACCTTGTGATTTCAAATATATTTATCAAAACCAGGAGAAGTATGTATGCATATATATGAAGTGTATATTGTAAGTCTTCATTTGGATGACTAAATGTTTCAATCATATAATTTGTCAATAGCAGTAAACCAAATATAAACATGTCTGTCTGGACACTTGAGGAAACAGACGATATCAGCTTAAGTTTCATCGCAAAAATGCATATATACACCACATACTTCCTACATTTTATTGTATGGAAATGCCAAATGTCATGCTATATATAATAAGGCGCGGTCGCCGTACAACCGATATTTTACCAAGACGTCAGCTTGTACCAATACGGCTTCAAGCAGTCGTACAAGGTTGACGGGGGGNGGGTTGTCAGTGGCATGTGCAGTTGTATGTATGGAGACGTGGAATATATAGGGAGTGCTGACTGTCTGGGGAGGATATCTTAGAAAAGCTGCCGACAATTTCGACAGATATGTTTTGATGTGTTGTAGAGTCACCTCGACCACTAATTAGATAGTAATAGGTGTTACCTGCTACCAGCCCAGTTTCAATCCAGAAATCCTCTCGCATGTTTATAATTATTTGATGAATTTCTATATGTAGCAATGGTTATATAATCACCAAGACAGACACCATCCATGAAGTTCTATATATAGTGAGTGTATCATCATCAAGTCGTGTTCGTTTGAAATACTTTCAGATCTGTAGCTTACTGCGAGGTGGGATAGCAGAACGAGGAGGCGTGCGAGTCGGACACAGAATTATAGAAATAAACAATCAAAGTGTTGTAGCGGTACCACACGAAAAAATTGTCTCCCTTTTGGCAAATTCTGTAGGAGAGGTAAGTAAACAAAGGTTTTAACTCATTCACCCCTGAAGACACATTTGAACTTTTCCAATTCAAAGGTTGGATTAGTTAGTATGTTATTTCAGGGGTGAATGAGTTAATATATCATATCTGGTGAATATAATTGTAATTTTGAGGTTGCATTGGGGAAAAAAAAGGGTTATTTCAAGTTGAACTAAAAATCCTTTGTGCAGGAACCAGATCACCAAAAGACATTGTCGAAGTAATTAGAATCTATACACAGGTCATACTGTTCCTAATTTAGTGACGACTGTATATATGTATATCAGTTTAACTCAGGGTGTGGTCCTGCTTTAAGGATCCCTGTGCCACTGCAGGCAAAACACTGGAGAATTCTACTGTAGTTTTCATGTATACAGTAACCTCCCCTTAATATCCTTTTGAATATAACTGTAGGTGACTGGCCAGGGTTTTACCATTGACTAGGTATCTGAGCTGATTAGGGATCTAGAGACATACAGAGCTCGGCTCCAAGGTTCCGTTTGTGGTCTTGCCACGATACATTGTAACTCTCAGAACACTGTTCATGGTGTTCTTTTCATATTTTTTTTTTTTTAAATATAGTCAGACTGGAAAAAAGTGTCCTCTGCAATTTTAACAGTAGTTTGGGTATCCTTAATCATGAATTTGATACCATTGCAACTATTTGCATTTAATTAAATTCAAACATTGCTGTGAACTTCACATTTCCAACTAATGGGAAATCAATGCTGGGGAAAAATAACAACATTGTCAGTTAAAGTTCTGAAAATAAGAAAATAGAATTCAAATATGCTTCAAGTGAAAATAGAATCCACAAGGGTCTCCTAAGTCCTTACTTGAGTTGTTTATTTTTCTGTGATAATTAGTCATGTATCAACAATACTATAACCATTTTTAAATATAACAAAATTAGATAAAATAAAATTAAAATGTATCAAATATTTCATGAGTAATCCTAAACCTATTTGTGTGATTGCGTTTCAGATCCACATGAGGACGATGCCCACCTCCATATTCAGGTTATTGACTGGTCAAGAAACACCGCATTATTTATAGTGACTTTTATCGGTGTATTTTATGTATCCACGGTGACCCGTACATCTACAGCTGGATTGTGGTTGTTGCCTGCGGAACTGGGTGGATACAATGTTTTGTGATAAATTGTGCCGTAATAGTCCTGATCAAGTTCACTGGGCTCTTCCCAAATATAAACAGTCTGGGCTTCAGGTTTCCCATTTGAAGTGTACTTTCCAAGATTCACTTCTTACCAAGGTACTGTTAACAGGAAGACATGGATTGTAAACCGTTCTAATTAGTAGTCCCCCGTTAATATTTTCCATTTCATTTCCGAGACTTTGGAAGAGCTATATGGTGCAAGCTTACAATTTGTAGCAGATCAGTAAATTGAAATTCTGGAATTCAGATAGGAAACAATATTTTTGAAAAGAAACAAACTTGAAAGAAAGGGGAAACAATTTCTGAAAAGGAACGATTTGAGACAAAGGGTAAATAACTGTTGTAAAAATTACCGTCTTAAGGGAGGTAACTCTTGGAGGGTAAGCAGCTGTTCTGGTGTTGATTAGGATACTACGGTACATAACTTCCACTGTGCAATGACTTCATTATATATAAATAAATTCTTACCATGTATCTTCAAGATAGAATGGTTTCGGGAATGTGAGAGAGAGGATGGTGTATGTCTAATGGAAATGTGTGTGCTACATTAAGCCGATTTTATTTGCTACTGTCTGGCAATTATGGGTACAAGTGTGAGAAAGTTTGTGTCAAATATTCCTTGTTTATAACCATATGTGTATCTAATATTCATATTGTCTGTTTCCTCTGCAGCATATGTTGTCGCTGCAATAGAAAGTTGTTTAATGTTTTACCGACCTGTATTGTCATAACAAACATTTCAACATTGTAATGTTTGGGAGGATTTTTTCTCTCAAAAATTTCAATTAAATTGATTATGATTAAAAGTTTGTTTGAGACGTTATAACTGAATTTGTAGTGGAAAATGAATTTGAAATCTTGTCATAAAAATAAAAGTGTTACACACTTCAAAACAAGGGTCAATGATAGGGACCTTACTTTGGGGTCTTCAGCTTAACCTATATATAGATCTGAACTCGCCTTCAATTCTTTAACGTCTCTGAATACTTGCCAACCCTCCCTATTTGGGAGGGAGACTCCCAATTTTGGACCCTAATATTTAGTATTTTCAACCAGTGAATTTGCTAAACTAGTCTTATAATCTAAGATCTTCTAATTACATCTGAAAGAACAACACAAAACATGTCATTTTAATGAAATCTAGGGTATATAAACACACTTTATTAATGTTTTAATTTTGAGACTACAGAATCTCCCCCAATGGAAATTTCAAATAGTTGGCAAGTATGTCTCTGTATTGGAATAATTTTCATACAATTTCTTTAAGCTGGTAGTTTTCCATAAGTATTGAAATTGGCTTCACTTACATGTGTAACAAGTTGGCGATATCCCATAGGCTTATTTGGTTACTTGTGTTCTTGAGGAGAACAATTGAAAGTGTATCTCATTTGGAAGTCTTATCTTATGAACGGTTTAACATGATCACTAAAGCAACACTATCTGTCTGAGACAGTCACAGGTAAGAAATATATAATATGTAAGGTTAAACATGATCACTAAAGCAACACTATCTGTCTGAGACAGTCACAGGTAAGAAATATATATAACATGTAAGGTTTAACAGTGTCTAAATTCTTAGTGCTGGCGACCAGTCTTTTATTTTGGGACAGAGGTAATTTCTGTGATTAATGGTACAAGGGGAGACAATCTCAAATAATCTTAACCCCCCCTCTTGGAAAAGGTGATACGGAAAAATGTACACTACAAACTCAATTATTATGAACTCATTGTTCACCGATGTCATATTTTATGTATATTTTATGAGTGAAATGAATATTGACATTTATGATGGTATGAAACTCATTTGATCATGAAACTCATTTGATCATAAACATATTCCATGGTGCACTTTGGTACAACATGGAGAAGTTGTTTACATACCACTACAAATGGACATAGTATGCATTTTAATTTTCATATTAATGTTAAAAGCAACAAAGATCCTTCAGTTCTATTTGTGTCTCTGGGTGATTTCTTTTGTGTTAGCCATACTTTTTTACCAAATGGTAGAACAGCAGTTTTTGCAGGAACGAGGTCGTGTTTTCCATGCCTACAACTCCTGTTGGGTAAATATATAAACTTCCATTGGAAACCATTCCAAAACTTCCATCAAAGTTTGAATTAATGGGTAATTATTGTTAAGGGTTGTGCTGTCGTAACAACATTTTGATTTATTAGGTTTATTTATAGGCTCTATTACAGAAATGTTAATACATTTATTACCAAATAAAAAACTGGCATTATGAGGTCATGGCATTGTGAGGTCAGAATTCAGATAATAGACAAAATGTAACGGCATTGTAATATTGCATTGAAGAAGAAGAAAAATCAAAAATCAAAAAGGCATTGTTTACGGTGATTTGTTAATAAAATTCCTTTTTTCATTCTGGACATTTTTCAGGCTAAAGCAGTTCCAATATAAGTTAGAGAGTTCCAGTGTTCCATGTAGTATCTCAAATGAGGAAGAACTTCAATTTGTTCAGCAGTTTTCTGTCTTACATCGCTTGTTTCATTTGGAATACTAAACTGTTGTATACAAACCCTGAACTACAAGTCACAGTATTCAATATATTAATATACTTTTCTGCAACATTACTGGGAATTTTCATTTCATAGTCCTTACAAAAACAAATGTTCACTCTGTAATCATATATAGGTTATAACATGATTTTAACAGAGAAAGTTACTTTCAGTGTCAGAATATAGAATAAAACGTGACAGGACTCACTAAGTATTGTTCCTCGGCTAACACTGTTAGAGGGAGAGAGTTCCAGTGTCCCTGTGTGATGGGCACAAAACAAAGCAATGGACTGCTGATATTACATGTGATAATACTGATATTACATGTGATAATACTGATATTACATGTGATAATACTAATATTACATGTGATAATACTGATATTACATGTGATAATACTGATATTACATGTGATAATACTGACATATAGGCTTCACAATAGAATTTGGAAAGGAATACTTTGTGACAAGTTTCCAAAAATATATAGATGTCTTAATCGAGTATCTTGTGTATATTACTAGCAAAATTTAAAAGAGTCTTTCTTTAAAACCTTTAGTTCTTTATAAATCTTGGAGATCTGTTCAGTCATGTAACTTCAAACAGGACAAGTTCCATTTGGTTACCTCTTTTATTTCCTATTTTTAAAGTTTTAGTAAGACAATATATCAGTCTGATTGGGAGACCGTGTTTGAAATAGTTTGTAGGTATATATACTCAGTAAATTTTCATTTTACATGATTTACTTCCCTTTATTCAGTTGCTACTTTGTGATAATTAACCAAGTTAATTAAATACTGTTAAGCTGACTTGCAATATTTACTATCTATATCCATACATGTTACTCGGGTAGGATTCATCATAGTTGATGTACCATGTAAATTAATTGCAATATTTCTGAACAGGGGAAAACTTGATATTCTCAGCTTAGAGGAAGGTCTCATCTTCCATAAGATGTAGGTAAGTTAGGTATGTCGGTGTTCTATGTAGAATTGATAAACGGAAAAAATCAGTGTTCCAGATATTTTTTTGGCTGATCAATTTACTCATTTAATTATAAATTACTCATTTGAATATGACATGGGTTTTTTCAATTTGATTGATCTTTTTCAGAATTTGATCTTTCTGTGTTCAATTAGTGTATTTGTATGATTTTCCCCCTGAAAATTGAGGAATTTAAGTCCTGTTCATGGCTTAGTTAATTCCTAAAAAGGAGAAATGCTTGATCGATATCTCGCAAGTTACACTTTAAATCATCCTGATGCATACTTGTGTATTGATATTGGAAAGTTGTTGGTATATTTAAGATGTGAATGAGATGGTATCCAGCACATCGAATGAGTCTGTAATATTGTGTGCAAGTGTTGGTTGTACAAACTATGTAGCTTTAATGTATGTTTTTGTTGTTTTTATTGTTAAGCATTCCTTGGTTCAGGTAGAGATACTAGTCCCTCCGGTACGACGGAGAGTGCTTTCCCTCTGGCACGACGGAGAGTGCTGTCCCTCTGGCACAACAGAGAGTGCTTGTCCCTCTGGCACGATTGAGAGATACTTGTCCCTCTGGCACGAGTGAGAGATACTTGTCCCTCTGGCACGAGTGAGAGTGATGTCCCTCTGGCACGACGGAGAGTGCTTTCCCTCTTGCACGACGGAGAGTGCTTTCCCTCTGGCACGAGTGAGAGATACTTGTCCCTCTGGCACGATTGAGGGTGGTGTCCCTCTGGCACGACGGAGAGTGCTTTCCCTCTGGCACGGCGGAGAGTGCTTTCCCTCTTGCACGACGGAGAGTGCTTTCCCTCTGGCACGAGTGAGAGTGATGTCCCTCTGGCACGACGGAGAGTGCTTTCCCTCTGGCACAACGGAGAGTGCATTCCCTCTGGCACGACGGAGAGTGCTTTCCCTCTGGCACGACGGAGAGATACTTGTCCCTCTGGCACGACGGAGAGATACTTGTCCCTCTGGCACGAGGGAGAGTGCTTTACATCATAATGATGGAGAAAGCATCTCTCACAAATCAAGACAATAATATCTTCAAATTCTTCTTTTTTTTCCATTTGATAGAAAGCATTTAGACAGAGGAGATACTTTATTCATACAGTTATTTCCCATGAATAAATCAAAGTTTACCTTAGTTAACCTTTGAATGATTTTGGCATTGTGTATCGTTGTAGTATTTGTTTCATAATATGACCGATATGTTAAAACTTGGCCTTACAAAGGTACCAAATAATAGTATTTATTTAGTAAAAAAGTGTTTATAATATTATATGTACAAAGCACTGCCTGCAATATCAATCAAGCCTTTGTGCGTGAAATATTGTACTAGCCCCAGTGCTGATAATGCTATATTCAACGTACTGTACTAATATAAATCTAGCTCTTATGCTCTTAATGGTTAATTCAAGCCCTTGTATATTTAGTTATTATGATGTAGTCTATTATTGTCCTTTATACAGGCCCCTTTGTATTTAATTATAGTGAGTAATCTTTTCTTGTCTTTGTTTTTTCCCCCAGTGGAAATGGTGAAGTATTGTTATACATACCCAAAGAGATCTTGGTTTTGTTTTGTTTTGTTTATTATTATATTTATGTTATATTCTGTGATATGATGTCATTTTCGTCTTCAAAAATCCTCCAAATAATATGTGTAATTAAAATGTCAGTAGGAGGAAAATTTCAGAAAACAGTACCCTATGTAGATTTCAATCAAAAGACTGAAGAAATACAAACAAATTTTGTGATACTTGCATCTGTTTATGCCAATTAAGCTACATTCCTTCATAAAAAAAACCCAACAAATTGGTCTCTTCAGCAGCAATCTGAAGATTTGTTTGTTATAGTGCCAGTATATTTATTGTCCATGACTCAAGACACTAAATTTGACCACCAATATGATATCCTGACAGGTGCTGTAACCCCTAATACCCAGTTTACACATAGAATTCTCAGTATACAGGTGGTATAGTGCTGTAACCCCTAATCCCCAGTATACAGATAAAATTCTCAGTATACAGGTGGTTTAGTACCCAGTATACAGATAGAATTCTCAGTATACAGCCGGTATAGTGCTGTAACCCCTAATACCCAGTATGCAGATAGAATTCTCAGTATACAGCTGGTGGTATAGTGCTGTAACCCCTAATACCCAGTATACAGATAAAATTCTCAGCATACAGGAGGTATAGTACCCAGTATACAGATAGAATTCTCAGTATACAGGCGGTATAGTGCTGTAACCCCTAATACACAGTATACAGATAGAATTCTCAGTATACAGCTGGTGTAGTGCTGTAACCCCTAATACCCAGTATACAGATAGAATCCTCAGTATACAGGCGGTATAGTGCTGTAACCCCTAATACCCAGTACACAGATAAAATTCTCAGTATACAGGTGGTATAGTACTCAGTATACAGATAGAATTCTCAGTATACAGGCGGTATAGTGCTGTAACCCCTAATACCCAGTATACAGATAAAATTCTCAGTATACAGGTGGTATAGTACCCAGTATACAGATAGAATTCTCAGTATACAGCTGGTGGTATAGTGCTGTACCCCCTAATACCCAGTATACAGATAGATTTCTCAGTATACAGGCGGTATAGTGCTGTAACTCCTAATCCCCAGTATACAGATAAAATTCTAAGTATACAGGTGGTATAGTACTCAGTATACAGATAGAATTCTCGGTATACAGGCGGTATAGTGCTGTAACCCCTTATACCCAGTATACAGCTAGAATTCTCAGTATACAGGAGGTATAGTGCTGTAACCCCTAATTCCCAGTATACAGATAGAATTCTCGGTATACAGGCGGTATAGTGCTGTAACCCCTAATACCCAGTATACAGATAGAATTCTCAGTATACAGGTGGTATAGAAGTAGTGCTAGCACAAACACATTACAGATCATTGAAATCCTATTGTAGTCATTGACACAACTGTCAACACATTATTTATTCCATAGATTCGTAATAAATTCAAACCAAATTGTGTACACTGTAGTCTGTGTCAGAATGAGAAGCTAATTTATCAGCCATCTTGTTAATTTACATAAATGCCAGAAGTGTTTGTTTGGAAAATTGGGTGAGGAATGAAGAAGGGGGGGAAAAGAAAAACTCAAATTATTTCAGAATATGTTGTATTTTTTCCAATATGACGAGAAGTTTTGTTCACCTTTGATATTGTGGGAATGACATGTTTGTGGTAATTCTGAAGATTACCATCCATTGTCTAGGTCCAACGACACTAAATCTTGATTATTGGAAACAGCTGTCATCCATGATTTTTATCTAGTCATTGATTTTGTCACATGTGTTATATAAGCGAGTTTTGAATGATTGCGAATATTTTTAAACATTTTCTGGAGGTGAAAATGGGACAGTGCATTTGTGTACCACTTTTGATAACAATAACATACGAAGCAGATGTTCTGTGTATTTATAAAGGACATTTGTTGTTCCCATTATTTTCCTCAACAGTGATATATAATCAATGAAAAAATATTCATGCTTGTCTGTGTCTTCTCTGTTGTCTCTGTGTTTCTGTGGCAAACAATACTATACAAAGTATGACCTTCATACAGTATTGTACGAAGTATGACTGTCATACAATACTATACAATATGACTATTATGATATTGTACAATGTATGACTGCCATACAATATTGTACAAAGTATGACTGCCATACAATATTGTTAAGGTATGACTAATACAATATTGAAGAACTGATGAATGGCATACAATACCATAGTAGTAAGACTTTTGTAGGATGTTATACAGCTAGAGTATGACAGCGGTATGATATTGTTAACAGTATGAGTATCGTAGGGTATTACAGAAAATAATATTGTACAATAAGTCTCTATGTTTGTACCCGATTTACATACTGAACAATAGTGTACCAGATGTCATACAATGTTGGATAAAATGGACAAGTCATACAAAACTGTACAAGTCATACAAAACTGTACAAGTCATACAAAACTGTACAAGGTTTGGATGTTATACAATGTAGAACATGTACAAAGTTTTGTAGTGTCATACAATGTTGTACATTGTTTGGCTGTCAGGTAAATCTGAACAATGTTACGATGTTGTATTGTTTTACATTGTATTTTGTTTACACTGTATGGTGTAAAACAATACGGCACCACAAAGTAGAAAGGAGTTGTTTTAGCTGGTGACTTTGTACATGTCGCATGCTATAATTTCTAATTGTATTGCTGTCTTGCACCTTGTGTTTTGGAGTCGTACAATATAATACATAATTTGCTTATGTAAACATCATGTACGTTGTATAATTATCTACATTGTATTACGGGGTAATGTATACCGATGTAATACCATGTCATGTCTGTACACTATACTTTGTATGCCATATGGTAAATGCATAAATATTCACATCCTTATGTTGCATATGACTTTATTTTATGGCATTAAAATATGAAACAGGTCGAACGTGTTTAGTTATTTGTAATGTATGTACAGTTATACTGTCAGTGTTAAGTTATTTGTAATGTATGTACAGTTATACTGTCAGTGTTTAGTTATTTGTAATGTATGTACAGTTATACTGTCAGTGTTTTTGCTGATGGCAAATCAGTAAGGGACATGTATATGTAGCTAGGGGCAGATCCAGATTTTTTTCAGAGGGCGTCGCCACTCCAGATAGATGTTCAGTAAATTCTGTGACATATGTGGTCTGAACCAGGTCATTGCATAAGATAAAGTAAGATACAACTTTTGACCTTTGTCAAGGGTCCCTCCTTAAACTAGGTATTTAATTTTATTTTGCTCTTTTTTTTTCTGAGTAAAATGTCCCAGTGAAATGAATATCAATATAATACTATGATTTTGGTAACTTATTCATTTTAAAACTGTGATGTTCATATAATTGTCCTTCTTGCAAATATATTTGGAAATAAGCAACAACTTCCTAAACTTTTTTTAAAACTCACAATTTTTAAAAGTCAAAACTGTAACCCATATGTACCCTGTATGACCATACAGGTACACAAGTCTCTAATGTGATTCGCTGACCCATTTATTAATTGATGATGGGGTGTGATATCAATTAGTGTCAACTATTCAACACCCAAGTTTAACCTGTTGGAAGGGGAGTGGCTGTGACAGTGTAAACTAGAATCATCGGGCAAGAAATGTTACATTTCTATAAACTATAAAACAGTGATGTGCACATTAGGCCCTAAGGCTGCAGTGAGCACATCAAAAGGAGCTTTGGGGTGTCGCACAATAGATGCAGTATATGTATACTACTATTTTCAAGTCGAGGGCAGGGGGGTGTCGCATACACTTGTGACCCCCATCCCCTTGGATTCGCTTCTAGTAACTGTTTTGAGGGAGATGAAGAAATTATTTGTTCATAACTTTTTTCTGAAGATCTATAGATCTATCAACCTGTCCAGTCAGCCAAGTTTATTAGCTCACCTAGCCCAAATTAAAAGTATATGGTGGCATTATGCTGCCCATACTATTTCAGTATAAGTATTGAATCAATCACAATCTGATGACCAAAGTGACCTTTTGCCATTTCTGTCTGTCTGGCTGTCATCAGCTTTTGTTTGAAAAGACTGCTCCAAGTAGATCATCCCTGGGCCAAAAAATCAGAGGTTTCATAATTGAAGTGTTGCCCCAGAGGGCACACAAGGCCAACTTAAAAAAAGGAAAATACATGTATAGGTAAATTATCAAAAAGACTACTCCAGAACGGAACAGCACAGAACATTGCTGGATCAAGAGATTCAATGTTGTTTAAATGAAGGGAGTGCGATGGTAAATAAAGTGCCAGCCCCAAATCATAGTACTAAAGTAAGTGTGGATGCATAAATCACTTGTGACCAACAATAACATTATGATTAATCTGAATATTTTAGGTTCTGTAATAAGACTGAAAGAAATTGTCGACGGCGACACGTTTTAATCATATAAACATCATAAGGGAAGTGAAAGTTTTAATCAGCTACCAAAGACAGGAAAAACCTCTCTCTTTAGTGATACTGAAATACAATATCTACCCAGGCTTGTCGTTTCTTACACTTGAATGGTTATAAGGAACGACAACCCTGGGTCGAGATTGATACAACTAAAAGCTTCAGAAATTATAACAATTATGCAAAATACATTAATTAATCCATTAACTCCAAATGTTACTACAGACATGATAAATTGATGTGTCTGATAGAGATGTGATGGCTTTTAGCGAAACTGTTACATCATTTGGAAACCTTTAATTTGAAACACTCTATCAAGAGGCTAAGAAACATCAGAAACAGTTTGTGTTCCCCTTGAAATCATTTTTAATAAGTCTTTATCGTCTGGTGTTTACCCAATCTCTTGGAAAACAGCCAAAGTTATGCCACTGTTTAAAAAAGGTGACAGGCATTCTCCCTCTAACTACAGGCCAATTTCTTTATTATCTACTTTTGGAAAAGTGTTTGAAAGGGTAATTTTCAAATACATGCATAATTATTTTATTGAAAACTCACTTTTTTTTATAAGCACCAGTCTGGTGTTTAGCTCACCTGGAAACTTTAAACAACTCCTGCTGAATAACCAAAATTCCCAGAGTAATGATATTTGGCCAGTAGCATGCTTAGATAAAGGGCTACCAAGTTTGTTCAAATGAATGACCTTTACCCATATTCAAGGTCACAGGGGTCAAATATGTTAAAAACTTTAAACAACTTCTTCTCATTAACCAAAATGCCCAGGGTGATGATATTTGGCCAGTAGTATGCTGGGGTAAAGGGCTATCAAGTTTGTTCAAATGAATGGCCTTCACCCATATTCAAGGTCACAGGGGTCAAATATGTGAAAAAATTTAAACAACTTCTGATGAATAACCAAAATGCTCAGGATGTTGATATTTAGTCAATAGCATGCTGGGATCAAGGACTACTATGTTTGTTAAAGTGAATGACTTTGACTTATATTCAAGGTCACAGGGGTCAAATTTGTTTAAAATCTTTAAACAACCTCTTCTGAAGAACCATGGGTCCCAGGATGTTGATACTTTGCAAGTTGCATCCTGAGATGAAAGGCTATAAAATTTGTTCAACATAATGACTTTGTTCAACTTTCAATCACAAGGGTGAAATGTTTTTAAAAAAAATAACAGGTTCTTTTGAATGAATTTTAATCATAAATACTGATATTTTGCCTTTATTAGCTTTATTTTAGATCACTTTTAATGTTACAAGTGTGAGATTTATACCAGGTGAGCGATGCAGGCCCATTGGGCCTCTTGTTTGCCTGGTCATTCTACTGTATATCAGCTCATTGAAATTTATCAGAACATCTGTATTGCTCTAGAAGAAAAAAAAAACATGTATGTATGGTATTCTGCAATATTTCTAAGGCTTTTGATAGGGTTTGGCATAAGGGTTTGATGATTAAGTTAAAATCCTATGGAATTTCAGGGGAATTGTATCATTGGTTGGAAAGTTACCTATTTCAGAGGCACCAGAGAATCTTTTTTGATACTTCCTACTCCGGTTTCATTGAAGCAGGTGTTCCTCAGGGTTCGATTCTTAGACCTCTTTTGTTTCTTATTTATATTAATGATATTGCTGATGTGTTTGAATCAACCTCTCGTTTTTTTGCAAACGATACTTCTTTGTTAAAACCATCTTCTTCATGTCTAGAAATCCAAACAGTTATGAATAGAGATCTCGAGCCTCTCAATGCATGGTCCCAAACTTTGTTAGTAACATTCAATCCAGAAAAAAAAAAAAATGTTTCAAACTTGGTTGAAATTGATGAAGATTTACAATTAGAATTTAATGGCGAATTTTTAAATTTTACTGATCATCATAAACATTTAGGCGTAATTTTTAATTCAAGTGCAAAATGGGGGGATCATATTTGTGCAATATATACTTCAGTTATGAAAAAGGTCAACGTCTTACGTAGACTAAAATACTTATTAAATCGTGATAATCTTTTAAAGATTTATAAATCATTTATTTTACCAGTTTTAGAATATGCTTGTGAATTGTGGGATGATTGTACAACTTATGAAACAGAAATGTTAGAGAAAGCCAAAAGAGAAGCTTTTCGTATAATTACTGGTCTTCCTTCTCGTGTCCGAAATGAAGACTTATTTTTTGAAACTGGTCTAGAAACTCTTTCCAATAGAAGAAAACGCAGAAAACTCCAACTTTTATATAAAATGCACAACAAATTAACTCCAGACTATTTAAATTCTCTATTGTCATCTTTCGTTGCAGAAAATAACCGTTACACCCTTAGAAATAATGATCATCATAGAATTCGTCCTTTCAGGCTTTCTCTAACAAATTCATCTTTTATACCTTCAACTCTTCGCGGTTGGAATTCATTAGACCTTTCATTACGATCTATTGACCTCCTTACATTCTTTTAAAAATTCGTTAACTTCAAATGTACAATCTCCTCCACCAATCTATTTAGGTTTTGGTGAACATTAATTGAACATTTTGGACACTAAACTTAGATATCAGTGTAGTCCACTTAAATATGATCTTTTTAAAGTAAATTTGGCTGATAGTCCAGTTTGTTATTGCGGCCATCCCTGTGAAAATGCCTTTTACTTTTTTTTTGAGTGTTTACTTTTTAACAACGAAAGACATACCCTGAAAAGTAACTTTGGTCATAAAATAATAATTAAAAAAAATATTAATAAAATTAAAATTAAATTACTAATAAAATTAACGATAAAATGCTAACATCGATTTGTATTTGAAAATAAAGCATTACATTTTATAAGTTAATTTAAAAAATATATTGATTTTTACCATTAATAGCTTGGTGTAATTAGAAAGTGTTTTGGGTATACATTGTAAAGAAGAGAAGTAAAATAAGTTTGCCAACAGTAGGTGTTACTGTTGGTATACACAGAGACGTATATATTACGTCTCTGGTATACAGAATTATTGAAATACACGCATGACTTCATACTTGACATAGTGGGACGTGTTAATGGCACAGACACAACTGTTGTAGTGTAGTGTGTTTTACCAACCGAGCATCAATAAGCTAGAAACAGTATACCAAAGGGTTATGGATATGGTGAGTATGCTTGTCTGTTGTATTTCACTTGGTATATTCGAAGGAACCTGAACATTTGTTACAGCTATATTTGGACCTTAACTAAGGTGTTGAGAGTAATTTTACACGTTTGGGGGGGTTTAGATCAATTTTCGGTAAAAATGCCACCCCCAATGATGATAATAATCGTATATTACATGTGTCGGAGAATTCCACGTTTTTGAATTGCA